TATCTAAGTACTACAATTATGTAAAAAAAAATAAAAACCCTAAAATGTTTTGAATTAATAAGTGTCTTATGTTAAATAGATCACTCAATATAATAAATGATAATAGTAATCAGTCAATAAAAAATAATAAAATAAAATATTGCTTGCATTATAATTTAATATGGTAATATATACCTAACACTTATTTTGTCTGATCAAATTTTTGTAAACTGATCTGAGTGACTGTGTAACAGTTCATCAATCTACGTAATATAAACTAATAAGTAATAACTGTGTTTTAATCAACGTTAATATACAGACAAGAATTTTCTCATTAGCCTGAATTATGTTTTTACTTCAAATCTTTTTCTACATACGTTAATAAAAATTTTATCATAGAATACATAATATACGCCTCTTAATTATTCAATCTATAAAAATATAAAACACAATTATTTAATATTGCAATAACTTAGTATAATATTAATTTATAATACAAAAATAAAACAAATAATATTCAGTTTATTATATAACAGATAGTTGTAAAATAGGTATCAGCAATTGTGCAGCATCTTGGATGTATGAACTACTATTGGATGACTGAAAAAATACACAAATAAGATTATACATTTAGCTTTTTAGTAGGGTAAGTATAAAGTAAGTAAATTACCTCGAGATAGACATCACTGATTTTATTAGAAGTACCATCGGCATCATATTTTGTCAACAAACTAGCATATTTATTGGCAATATATCGAATTCGGCAACACACGGATTCATTTAAGCTGAAAATATTAATTATTATAATTTGAAGGTAATATGGGTAGACATGTATAAAAATCATACAGAGAAAGTTGTTCAGCTTTTACAGTGACTAGCTGATTTTGTGTATCAATCATTATCATTTCCCCTAACTTATAGAATAATTCCATCGCGGCTGCAGTTAATTCGGCTAATGCTGAAATAGCTTCATCATGAATGCTATCCTCACTATCAAACTCTTTGTTTGATTTTTCATCAATCAAATGACTAACCTAACAGAAAATATAAAATATTTCATTCATTGATAATATTTATGAAAATGTGTGAACCTACTCTCAGGATCTTCTCAATTTTTACATCAGTACTTATTTGATTAATACAAGTAATTAGAGAATTTTTAAATTCTTCTATGGTCATTATTTTTTCATCATCATCAAAATCAGTATAACACAAATCTTTTATTTGATCCAATTTATCTTGAATATCGGTTAACTGAGTTCCTGAGTATGACAACAAAACCGTTTGAAGTTTCATTTGACATTGTTTTGATAATAGTTCAAGACTCTCTAAATGAATTAATCCTGGAAAAAATATACAAGTTATTTTATTAATTATGTTCATAACATTTAATGTTTAAAAAAAACATAACAAATCAAGGAGTAACCACACTGCATGTAGATGCATTGGTACATATGTATGTCTTGTAAATTTAATATATTAATTGCTACCCTCAGAATATAAAAATGTATAATAAGGTTGCTATATTAACATAATTATATTAATCATCGGTTGCTAGAGGAAACCTAGGAACTTTATAACATTAATTTTATCTTTGTTATTGTTTGGTTGTCATGGCAACTGTAACATGTAATTAATCAGAAAAATACAATATTTTATGCTCCAGGCCTCAACACAATGACATTTTATGTCATATAAAATTATAGAATGACCCCCCAGCCTTAAGACTTACATGTCATTTTAGATCATATACAATGGATGGAGCTACTTTAATCATTTGCTGTGTCCAACATAACCCCCCCACTTAGTTATTTTATAGTGATTTTTCGCGCAACTCATGCGTAATAAACGCATTGTTCCCTTGAAATGAAATGGGTGGTGGGGATGGAATGTGAAGCGGCAAAGGCGCAAGGCATGCGCAATAACTTGTTGTTCCATAAATTATATGGGTGGTGGGTGGTCATATTGGACACAGCTCGGTATACAAGAAATACACACATAGCTCCATCCATTGTATATAATCTAAGCATGTCATAATGTTAGATTATTAAAATATATGGTTCTGCAGTAATTTTTTTTAGTATTGATATTGATTTTATATCACAACATTAAATACCTATATAGTATATCGTAATATTTAAAATAAATGTAGTTTATTTTTTCAAATTCATCATAAAACATTATAATAAATAAAAATAATATGAATGTTATTAAATAATATTTGGCTACTTATAAAAAATTATGGTCTGCGATGTTTGATTAAATCGTTAAATTTATTTGATGTCAAAAAATAAATAAATAGAAAAAATAAATTCTAATGTATTCATATGAACATTGATAGCAGACAATATGTTTGATATTATATCTAAAATATATACATATAATGAAAATGAAAATTAGATTGTTTGTATAGACAACCTTTTCTAAAGCTGGAAATTACACCAAATCAATAGTGTAGTTTATATTTTGATATCATTAAACATAATCTATAATTTCTCTATGTAAACTTTTTTCTTTTATTTACTTTATACACAACATATAATTTTTTTAATTGTTTGCATGTGATGAATAATTATAAAATTATGTTAATACATATAATTTGTTACCTTGAAAACTATCTAACAAATATGCATATCCTTTTCTTATTTCAACTTGATTATTTTGTTTAGATTCAACTTCAGCTTTTTCTTTAGCTTCTTGTAATACCTGGAAATAATCCAAATGACAATTCAAAATAATACTTAGATTAAAGAAACAATCGATTAATCTCTAGACTAAAAAAAATCGCACTCTAGTCAATAGAAATTAAATTTTGTTTTATAAAAAAATCTAAAATATTTAATAATTAAGTGTAGATACTAGATATACATTTCATGTATGCACGCATATATACCCTTCTAGGCATTTTATACTCCCTCATCCACCATGAGAAAATTTTAAATCTGTTTACTGATTTGTTGACAATCAATTAAATAAAAACTACTAAAATATAATACATTAAGCGATTGCTTTGTGGAATAACAAGTATACTTCAGAAAATCTAAAATTATACAATCTACTTATTAACATATAGTATTATATAAGTAAAACATTTAACAATCTATACTTTAGAAAACTATAGTAAGTTAAGAAACTATATATTTTATAATATTTTGTTCACTGAAACCTATCAGGTTTTAGACTCCATGAATATATATTTCTTATAATAAACTAATATTTTATGATAACCTATATATCATATTATATATTTTAATGAATTAACTACCTGTGACAAATTAATTTTTTCAGTATTTTGAAAAAATATAGCTCTTTTTTTTCGCAAACCAGGATCACCGTCTTGTAACACTTCTAAAGTTTTCTTGCCAACTGTTTCTAATGTATCAAGACCTCCACTGATAATTTTACTGCCAGTAGTTTCAACAATTTTTGTAATCTGACTTACATTGCTCAGAAAATAATTGGTGTCTAATATTGATTCTGATTGCTCTTCAGTTAATTCATCTAAAATAAAATACATTAGGTACACTACAATAAAATAAGAAAATATATATAAAAATAAAAATTATAACCATTGAATTTTGTTTCCTTTAAATCTTTTATTTCTTTATCTTTATCTACTGATGCTAACTGTTCAGGTGCTGGTGCTCCAATAACATTAGTTATACCTTGAGAAACTTGGTTTGTTAACGCGCTTGCTGTTGATAAAAGTGAGTTAACACTCCAACCACTGGACCAACCACCCCATCCCTAAAAAAGGTTTTGATCTTAAAACATAATCTTAAAATTGTATTTTGTATATAGTATTAGTAATTCTAGATATATTGATAATTTAATAAAAAAATTAATTTTTTATTTAAAAATAGTTAATAAGCATATTTCACTTACTTGTGTGTTAGTTTGTTTGATTTCATTTTGAACAACTTCAGAAACTTTGGGTCCAGGTTGTGTGCGGTTGTCATTGTTTACAACTAATTTATCCAATTTACACTGTGCCATTGAAACTGCACTGGATGCATCATCTTTCTCAGATTGTTTTGTGTTCTCGTTCTCACATTTGACATTTTGTTCAGTATTCACTTTATCAGATACATTGGATAATGTAGACAATGTTGGTCCAGTTGGCTTTGATTCTACAGACAGAGGTTTAACATCTGGTAGGTCAAAATCTGTTTCAATTTCCCATCCATCTCCGCCTTGACTGCCTTCATCAGCACTCTCAAACTCAACTTCGGAATCTGACATGCCCTCGCTAAATTATATACAAATATGCATGAACAAAAAACCTCAAATATTTACCACGATTCCAAAAGTATTAGACTTTTTTTTTTAGTTTGTTGTGCTTGATTTTGTTTGATAAGCGAATTTAATTAAACATCATGACGAGGTTAACACTAAGGTGTATGTGTTAACATTTGTACAAAAAAAAAATTAACGTTGATGGTTGGTGTATAATCGAGCATAGAGTTGTAATGTATAATAATATTATAATAATTACAGTAATAATAAATGACTATCCATAATACAATTATTAGATTTTATTATCATTATCATGGCTAAATATATTTATTTTTTTATAGCCAAGGGCGCTCTTATGAGCCATTCGTTTTCTGGCCGTCTCCAAGATTTTGTAAACAAACTGTTATCACCTTTTAAATAAATAATAAATATGAATCTATTGTTCTGTGATTATAATATCATTCCACCTTTTCTTAAATTAATAATTATTCTTCAAATGTTCTGTGATAAAACTGATATTTCGTTGTGGACTTGTGGTTCGATGAAAACGAATTCGTGTTGTTTTTAGTTTTTGTTAATTACTATAGTCATTGCTCATTAAGGCACTATTGTTCGTTATTCTCAATTCTGTTGCCTATTCAAGTCCACCACAACTTACATTTGTATTTTAATTCTCGAATTCAACCGATTTCACATTTATCTTTCATTATTCTTACAGGACCACTGGTCACTGAAAAGATGTAAAATCGTGTTATATTTAGACAGAGTGCTTTCATATCGTTAATATGTGGGTGAATCCAAAGGAAGTGTTAATCCCCAACACCTTTTGGTAAATTAAAATTTATTTATGTTGTGTCTGTGTAAATTGTAATATGCTTTCATGAATTATGATTATTTTGTTGTTTTATGTTTTAGGCAAAACGAAAAATTAAGTGTATACTTTCTATTACAACACCGCGTCGGTCATGGACAGGGGAATAAATTATCTTCGTTATTAGTTGGGACGTTTGATAGTTTTTTTGAAACCAAACCAAGTCCTTACAGGATCTTACATCAAACACCAAGTTCAGAAGTGTATTATGGTATTCTTGTTGTTTAACAGCTACTTAATTATAACACTGATTTACAATAAGCTTGTCATAAAACCGCTAGTGCGTTACAACTATCAAACATTAGTTAATCAAAATTAACCTTTTGTTTATCAGAGTATTATCCTAAGCACACTATAGGAGCAAATATTCAAAATTCAATCAATTGGGTTGAAAACAACATGTTCAAGCCTTATAGATTTTAGTGGAAAACTGATAGGAACACCCCACACTGTCCCTAGGCCAAAATCAATTCAGAACTTTAACATCATTTTAGAACAACTTTTCTAAAATATGAGTACATATTTTGTTATTGATTAATAATAATAATATCAAATAGATTCTCATGTTCGAATTTACAAAATTCATTTAAGTTTATTAACACATTAACAATTATAATTTTTGCAATTTTAAATAACTCTAATCTTGCCCTAAATTGCACTTACAATATTAAACTAACCTGAACATGTTTTAAAAAAAAAGATGGATTTAATGGTGCTTGAGTAGCTGCGAGGATGTCAAAATAAAGTGTTTTATATAATATTCTAAATTATGGGGGGCTTGATTTCCAGTAGGCACATGGGCCTAAGCCCTCTCAAACATCTTTTTGCTTATGCTTTATTATATTGCCTATATGCTATTGGGGTAAATACAATTAAGTGTTATTTCTTAGGTCTTAGCATTGAAATTGGTTATGACTAGGGTACAGATTTTTGGGTTCAAAAAAAGTTGATATATGATCATAATATTTTCTTAAAAATAAATACAAATAGGTATTCTCTTACCATTTAGGTTTTAAAAATGCAAAAATAAAAATGAACATAAAAATATGTTTTAATATACAATTTTTTTTTTTAAAAGTGTTTTCAAGAAAAAGTTAGAAGTCATTATAGGTAAGAGAAAAAACTTCTAATAAAACATACTAATGAAAATAATATTCCCTAACCCAGTGTTTCTCAACCTGGGGGTCGCCAACTTATTATTTAGGGTCTCAATCGAATGATTTAAATCATACAAGTATGTAAAATTATTTATGTAGGGGTCGCTAAAAAATTGAAAATTTAAAAAGGGGGGTAACCACAGTAAAAAAGTTGAGAAACACTGCCCTAACCCATGAAAGATTTGTCTTTATTATTTACTCTATTTAAAATTGCTAAACTCAGTAATGATATTTCTTCCCACCTGTTTCTGCACTCTTCACTCCAATTATATGGGATTGCCGATTGGTCACTTTTGTCCTACACCTTCATAGGTCTTTGTCTTCCTCCTCTCGTTAACTTACACTCAACAATGATGTATTTAAACCTAAAAATTGGGACCCTTGTTATGACCACAGTCTAAATTGTTATTTTTAAAGATACATATTAATTTGAATTACATGTAGGTATAACAACGTTTTTTTATTATTATATATCTCTAGAAATAGCTTGTGCATTAACTGAATCAGATATTTTAAAAGATTGGGAGTGGTTGGAGAATAACCTGAATCTCAATATATTTGAGAATGAAGATGATGTTACTGACTTTGTTCGCTGTAAAATTAAAAGCTTAGTAGCAACTAATGTATCAGAGACACCAGATGAAGACAATTCTGAATCGTTTAAAGATGCATCTATAAAATTTCACCGTCTGTTCAATGTGTCACGTGATACTACCCTTGTTTGTTACTATGCTTGCAGGCAAGTTAAAATTTATTTTTATATGTTATAAAATATGTTTAATTTTTTCAATTTACATATTTTTAGCTATTTGAAAAATAAACTCCCTCGCCGAGGTTGGCTATATTTGTCTGTAGAATATTTATGTTTTCATTCATACTTGTTGGGTATAGAAGATAAAATAGTTGTAAGATGGACAGATGTGATCAATTTGGATAAAAATAATAGTATGTTATCAGATACGATCAAAGTAACAACAAGAGATAAAAGAGAAGTAAGTTGTTGTACAACATAGTTTTTTTTTTCCATAATCAAAATATGACAATTTAATTAGTTTGTCAAATAGTAACTAAAATATACAAGCATATATTTTTTTATTGTGACTTATGTTATCCAGACATAAAAACATTAACTTTTGGGGTCATTATTATTTATTGCATTGTTTTATTTAAATATAAATTTAAATATGTCTACCCTTTAAAGTTGTGCAGTGGTGTAGACATGATTTATGAAAGGATGGGGGATCAAAAAAAGGAAAACGACACAGTTAAATGGGAGAGGAAAATTGAAAAATCAACACTTTTTACTAAGGTGCCTAGTAAAATATTTAAGAATAAGAAACAATTAATATAATTTGAATTGAATCAAATAAAGATTACTTTTCCATAAATAAATGAAAATAAAATTATAATGGTATTCAGTAGGTATTGACAAAATTGTCAAAATTCAATGGCTCGATATGACAAAATATTATATTATAGTACATACTACATAATGTAAGTAAAAACAAAAAAAAAATTAAAATCCAATTGGGGGGGGGGTCGACCCCTAAAGAAGATATTGCTTGGTGCAAAAAAAAAAATCACAGTTGAACTATTAAGATTTTTTTTTTCCTTTACATAATATTGTGATCTATAAAGTAATGCATAGGAACACATTAATAGCCTCAGATTTCCGCACTACCGGCTAATAGACTAGCTAGACATGTGTCCCTCATAATTTGTTTTTCAACACGTTTATACACTACTTTTGACTATATTTGGTAGTTATATACTTATATGTCAAACTCTAATTTTTGAAATTAAACCTAATTTAAAATAATTTATTACTTGGATTACCTTGGTAATAAGTAACTCATGACAATCTCGTGTTAGTAAAGAAGTTTTCTTAGTATAATTCTATGTCTTTTTGATTTATTTGAAAACCTCTGGTTATGATAGTATGTTTTTAAAACTAACAATATGTAATTACCAACTGAGTAATAATTTTTACTCAAGGGGTTGCTAGATGGGCTAAGATCCCAAAACCTTTTCAATGTCTCTTCAAAAATGATTGAAAAATATTTGATTAATCATTGTTAATTACTAAATTCAAATAGGTTAGCCTCCCTTGAGTCATTTGAAAATAAAAACTGCTGCACCTATGCTTTTATATTATAATTTGAGAAGAAATATGATCCTAATTATATTTTTAACCTACTCTGTCTTTAATATATCAGTTTATGTATAATACTTTCTTTATTAATTTATTTTGTGTAGTTTTAATTTTGTATCTATATAATAATAGCCATTTTTTTTTTTTTTTTTAGTATAGATTTTTTATGTTCCTGCATTCATCGGATACATTTGAATTAATGAAACAATTAGTTAATCTAGCAATGAAAGGGTAATAAAAAATATATTTAACTAATTATTAAAATAAAAGTATTTGTGAGTAATTAATATAGGTATTATCTCGGCATCTTTATATGAATTTAAACTTATGTTGTATGCAATAAGACCCTACACAGAAATGAACTACTAATATGCATATTATGTAACAAGCAACTTAATACTCATATTTGTTATTAAAAATCAATACTTGAAATTATAAAAGATTTATAAATTATAGGGTAAATTAGGAAAATTTAAAATTGTGTTAATTTTTGTTTAGAATTATTAATGATGTGTGGTTCAATAAAGATCATAACCTGCTACTTAAAGTCAAGTAAATTGATTTAAATATTTTTTTATTATTTTTTAAAAATAAATGATTGTTTTATTTTTTTTTCTTACAGTAAATATGTTCCCAAAAGACAGTCTTTTGTAAAACGTGACTTGGATGCAAGAGCTATGTCTGAGACATATAGGCTCCTATTCCGATTACCTTTGAATGAAAAACTTGATGGAGTTACTAATGCTACATTGTATACTCCATACAATAAGAAACATGTGTTTGGACAAGTGTACTTGTCTCAAAACTTTATGTGTTTCAATAGTAAAGTATGTGAATATTATTTTGTATAAATTATATTTAAAATAATATCTACCTATATTAAATTCTAATATAAGATCTTTTAACAGACAACTGATCCATTGAATGTGGTTATTCCGTTATGTGATGTATCACAAGTTGAGAAATTAGAACCTATACCTAATGATCAATCATTTGATAATTCCATTATAATAACTTTGAAGCTAACAAGTACAAATGAAAAACCTCCATTTTTCATATTTTCACAAATTATGGAAAGAGAATTTTTCTTAAAAAATATATCTGAAATATTAGGTAATTTAGAAACGTGAGTATTGCGTTGTATTTTTCTTTTTTTTTTAAAATTTAATTCCAGGATAGATATACATTTTTAATTTAAATTAAGAATTATTAATTTAACATATACATTTAAATATTATGATTTTATATGTTATATTTAATACACGACATATATTTATAGAAAATCAATTTCTAAATTCCAAAGAGTTGATTCAATATCAGATAGCGAAATAAAACTACCATTGCGGTTTACTTTTCGAATGAAAGAGCATGATAATTCTATAATTAAAATCAAACAGCGAGCGAAGGAAGTTGAATGGGATTTGTACTTCAAAGAGCATGGGGACGGTGTTTCAATGTATAAAACGAAAGAACTAGTTAAAATGGTTTTAGTGGGCATACCAGAATCATTGAGATCAAATCTTTGGCTAAAATTTTCTGGTATGAAACATTATTTATATTTTTTATTTTTTAATTTGTACTGTTTATTAAATTGAAACTCATTATTTTGTTATTATTTCAGTAATAGTTTAATACAATTGTTGGAATTCAATTTTTATAAAAAAAAATTTGAATTTGCATGCTATTTTTAGCTATCAGAACAGGATGCACAATATTTCATTTATCCACTTTTCTGATTAAACTTATGAATAATTTTTGAGCCCATAAATAATCCGAAAGTATTGTGTCTAATCTCTGTATTTTAGCAGAACCTTATTTTAACCAACAGTATATTAAGTGACAAATATTTCGGTTGACAATATTATAGCCGACAACTAAAATTCCGGTTCTTGCGTTTCTGCTAAAATATATTTTAGGCAGAAATGCAGTTAGGAGTTAGGACTCAATATTCTGATATAATAATCTGATTTTTTATATCCTCCCTATGAAACAGGGATTTTAATCATTTTATTATTCATTGTATGTTTGATAATGCTGAGGCATCAGATGTTGGCATGGACGATGGCTACGATAACTGCCGATTTCTTTTGTATCATGATTATTATTGCTATACAGAGTCGTGTCCAAATTAAAGTTTTCTTTTAAAAAATATGAAAAATTATTTAACATACAAATGAAGCTGGGTATTCAGCTACTTAATTACAAATTCATGATTACAAAATTGAATAATTACTATTATTACGTATTGTGTTAGTCAGTTTAAGTAGAAATGTTCAAATGTCTATCATCTTTTTTTTTAATTGTAGGTGCTTACCATGATATGGTGGCTAATCCAGGACTATATAATGAGTTAGTAAATATTGCTTCTACAACTAAATCGATATCTCATGATGAAATCGAACGAGATTTACATAGATCATTACCTGAACATCCAGCCTTCCAATCCGAAATTGGTATTAATGCATTACGTAGGGTGCTTACAGCCTATGCAACAAAAAATCCTCAAATTGGTAATAGAAAAAAAATCAAAAGCTATTTAACTTAATCTTAATAACACAGATTTATTTTTTAGGTTACTGTCAAGCCATGAACATAATTGCATCTGTGTTGTTAATTTATTGTACCGAGGAAGAAGCGTTTTGGCAGTTGGCCTGCATTTGTGAAAATATGTTACCAGATTACTATAACAACAAAGTAGTAGGAGCTTTAGTTGACCAAGGAGTTATGGATAATCTTATAGCCAATCATTTACCATTTATATATGATATTTTGTCTAGACTTGGTTTGATTCAAATGATATCATTGTCTTGGTTTCTTACAATATTTCTCAGGTTAAACAATTAAAAACAAACTAAATGAATTTAAAAATATTATGTTTATTATTATTATCATTCTTATGTTATTAGTGTGATGCCATATCAAAGCGCAATTTATATTGTTGATTGGTTTTTCTTTGATGGAGCTAAAGTCATATTTCAAGTAAAATTTATGATCTATGAAATTTACTCATATACTATTTGGACGTGCTTAAATATTTTTCAGGTGGCTTTATCTATTTTAGAAATGAATCAAAAACGATTGGCTTGTTGTCGTGATGATGGTGAAGCAATGCAAACTTTATGCAATTATTTGTCAGGAATCTATAATGAAGAACTAGAGCAAAGTGAACTATATAAAGATGGTGATAAAATAGAAAGGGTAAAAATAATACTTTAATATAGATATATATAATGTATACACTAAAAAAAAAAATATTCTTACAGAGTGTTTCTGTTCAAGAACTAATCAACAATGGATACAAAAAATTTAAATCTGTTAATAGCAAAAATATTGAAAATCTTCGTGTCATGAACAGACTTAAGGTGGTTCAGTCAATGGAAGATGGAAATGAAAAAAACATAGTCAGATCATTAGTCCCAGATAATTATTTTTCATCTGATGAACTGATGGTAATCATAAATATTATATTTTATTTCTTTATACTTAATTAATTTTAGAATTATAATTATAATTTTTTAAATTTGTTGAATATTCTTCAATTTTTTTCCTTTTTTTTTGTTTAGGATTTGCTAAAATTTGTTAGAGAAGAAGTGGTTTCTGTACACAAAAGAACCCATGTTCAACCACTTAAAGCAGAAACACCTATAGAACCTTATGAATCTTATAGAATTGACTTTTATCTATTTGAAACCATGTTTACGGTGATTTCCCCCTTAGCTAAGAATAATGGTGCCAGTAATTTGGCAGTTCGGCTGTTTAAGGTAATTAAAAGATTTTTTAAAAAAAATATCTGATTTATCATATAATTTCTCATTAGTTGATGGACATGAATGATGATGGTTTCTTAAACTTTCGTGAGTTAACAGCAGCCTTAGGCCTAACATCTACTGTTGATGTAACTATAAGGCTAAAAATGCTCTATTTACTACATTTATCACCACTTCTTTCAAATGATTTGCTGTCTTCGACTGAACCAAGTAAGGGTAACAAATAAATAATTATTCAGTTTGATCATAGTTATAGACCAAGATCATTATCAAATATATTATCATATTATTTTAATTAGATATTTCTGAAAGTGGAGCTGAATATGCTTCTGATGCTGCTGAATATTTTAATGCTAATATTTCAAGAGGTATAATGTGTGGTAATTGAAATATATATTTATATTTTTTTTCATATTATACAGGGGTTATTTGTATTTCAATTATGTTTATTTATTTTAGAATCAAATTTAAATGATTTAAAATCACTTAGGAGTGTTACTAATTGGAAACATTCTACCATTTGTTTACCATCCATGTCTGAAGATCGTTTTGTTGCATTGTGTAAGACTATGTATGATCTCATTGAAAATTCAGCTATAGACCAAGAAATGCATAATAGCATATCCAAAATAAGTAATTTACATACATTTAAAAAATATATTTGTTAGATAAGTCTTTGTGCTAATGATTAATTGTAGTGTAACCTCTAAATAGATTATTATTATTATTAATATAATTCTATTTAAGAGGTTTATTGAGTGATGTGGCCATGAGGGGATGTATCAATCGATTTTATATTTTTATGTAACCATTCAATATTATTTAATATTTATTTTAAATACTAATAACTTTTATTTTGCCTTTTAAATTTAATATTAATTATTCATGTCAGTTCATTCAACCAATAATGATCCTGTGCACTTTGTTGCCCGTCAACCAATAATTATTATTATAATAGCATTGATTATCTATATATATAAAAATGGAGACAAAAAATTCGAAATTGCATCAGTTGAGAACGGCTGGGCCGATTTTGCTCAAATTTTTTTTAAGATGTTCGTAATTGCCAGGTGAAGGTTTTTACGAAAGAAAATTTTTAAAAAGTCAACCGAATAATTAGAAAAACTGCAAAAACTATTTACTGATGTCTGGGATTTGAACTCGATACCGTTGTCTTTATTTACTCTATTGTGTATTATATTATATTAGTTGCTATTGGTTAATCGGGCATGTTTGTTGATTTGTATTATTATTTTTTGTAAATATATCTTATATATAAATGAATGACGGTGTGTAGATTAGACCTATGGGAAGAAGATACGCTAATTTAAAAAGGGTTAAATTTGGTTTTTTTTATTCATCGGATTTTAGTACGGTTAGGTTAGGTTAGGATTTATAGGTAGGTGGAATTAAGTAAAAACGTCAAACTTGGTATAACTTTGGTACTTTTTGAGTTAAATCATACACTTATGTACAAACAGCACGGGGTCCGCGATCTACCGCAGGTAAATTACCTATCTGATAATGTACTGCTGCAATTCAGAATTTTAATTCCGGCCAACAGAAAAGTTAAGATAAATCTAGAACATCATACACCGAATATTAAATAACGCATTGAACAATGTTTGAGTCATATAGAGTTGGTACATTTAACGGGAAACGAAGTGCACGGGATCAGCTAGTATATATTTATAATCAATGATAATAGCTTTAAGCCCCATGGGCCATGGCAACCATTTATAAATAAAAATTTCCATCGGAAATCTCAAAATCACTCCCTTTTTAAATTATCCTATCTGCTACCCAGAGGTCTAATCTATCTATATATATATATAAAAACAGCTAATCCCGTGCACTTTGTTGCCCATTAAAATTTTCAACTTTATATGAATAATATGTTTTACATATTACCATGGCAACTATTTATATACAAAAATTTCCATCGGAAATCTCAAAATAATATATAAATGTTTGCCATGGTAATATATACACAGACATGTACATTCGTTTTTATATATTACCAGCTGATCCCGTATACTTTGTTCCCCGTTAAATGTACCAAATCTATATGACTCAAACTTTGTTTAATTTGTTATTTAATATTCAGTGTATGGTGTTCCAAATTTATGTTAACTTTTCCATTGCCCGGAATAATAATAATAATAATTCTGATTCGCAGCAGTATATTATCAGATAGTCAATCTATAAATCTATCAATCTATCTCAAATTTTCTTTTTTTCCAATCTTCTCCAGGCAATTACGAACATCTTTAAAAAAATTTGAGCCAAATCGGTCCGGGTGTTCTCGTACAGCAATTCATTTTTATATATATAGAAGATATAGATTATCTTTCATTGTGCTAATAAATTATTTTTGTTAATTATTATTATTTAATATGTTTTAAACGTATTAATAACAATCAAATGTTCTAGGTGCTATTTTATTGGAACTCGGTAATTTAAATAAAGAAGAGTCAAATAAAGTGAGTATTTTAAAATCTAGTTTAAAATAACATTACATTTTTAAATTATTTTTGTTAAACAGTCAGAAAATCAAAATAACAGCGAGTGGTTTATAAATGCAGAACAATTTGTTGCTACTGCATTGACGGTACAAAAACTGGTCGAGTTTATTGGTGCAAGAGCTAATGTCTCACAAGCTCTTCACGAATTGAGAAATAATTGAATATTTGAATGTGATAATATAATGTTATAACTATTAATTAATCATATGAATTAAATTATTGTTATTTATACTTTTGACAAAATCAATGCAATAGCAGGGTTTAATACCAATTAATAATAAAATATTTATAAGAACATTTTTACCGATTGTTAATACTTATTAATTATTATATAGTATATTTTATTTTTATATATTATATCAATCATGTATTTTTATATAATTATTGTTTATTGTATTATGAGAATTTATCCAATAAAAATATAAGGTCATTTACTCATTTACAATATTGTACATACTATAATCAGAATATGGGGCACTGATAACAATACAAATTATTTACAACTTTCCGAGGGTGAAAACTAAATCAAAGCGCATACAAATCTACAAATATTGTGTCTGAACTCTGAATCGCATTTTAGCTGAAATTTTTTTTATTGGACATGCATATTTTAGCAGAACCATATTTCAGCCAACAGATTTTTAGGCTTTGACAGACAAATATTTTGACTGACAATATTATAGCCGATAGCTAAAATATAGTTCGGACAAAATATTTGTCGGTGACATTATTTTCGGACTCTTTACAGCCCCTCAAAGTTCAAACGAAATCAATCATTATTCAAAAGATAAAAACTCAGTGCGACTACAATATGATATGAAGAATATACCTACTATTCTATTAAAATAATACTGGAAATAATTTTTTAATGTAATTTAATGACTGTGTGTCTCCAAAATACTGAACAAATTGAAGAAGTAAGTAGGTATATCATTAATTCAAACTATAAATTTAGTTTTAAATTTACATAATAAGAATAATATACAATTTAAAAAAGGTGGGTAAGTGGATGTCGCTCTGCTGTACAGAAGGTTACAAGTGGGTCACTTTATATTAAATTTGAATTCAATGATATAATATCTTTGTATACGAAAAACGATCTGTCTGTCAGTGTAGATATTTTATATTATATTTATATTGTTATTAATTATTATTAATACAGTAGGGTGAGTTGAATTAATATAATAAAATTACAACAAAATAACTAAAATAAGAATTTTGTTAAATCTCATTTGTTTTAGAGTTACACCAAAAACCAAAATCGATTTTCTCGAAAACAGATTTTGCTTAAAAATTCCCGTTTTTCCTTAATTTTTCTTTTGTTTTTCACGGCGCTTTTGAAAACTACTTTTAAATTTTTACTTTTGACCCCCCAAAGTACCAACTAGATTCACTTTTCTATCAGAAAAGATACTGTTGAAGAAAATCCAAGCACTTCTACTGTCCTAAAAGGTGATGACAGACACAAAAAAATAAATAAAAAAAAACACACATCATTGTCAAAATTCATCGTTGCACTCGGAAATCTAAAAACTAAAAATATTGGAATTTTAAATTGTCAGTAGACAGCTCAAAATGAGTCAAAGTATTTTGAAAATTTATGATAAAATAAATATTGTGTAAATAGCAAGTATCTACAGTTATTCGTTTTTGAATTACAGCAAAATAAGAAAATCACCACCTTGAGAAATCGTATAAATATCTAATGCTCATTAAAATTTAAATTGACATTCCGGTTGACATTTTTTTTGATAAAGGTATACAAACTTATTAGGAATCTTGAATCTCAGATTTAAAAATAAAAACTTTTATTAATTTTTAACTCAAAATAATTTGCACATAAACTGTACATTTTTAGTAAATTTTAAAATTATTAAAACTTACTTAAAAATAATAATAATAGTAAAATTATCCAGATAATATTCTTACCTTTAAATTTTATAAGAGGTAAAATCACTCTAATTTTAGAAATTACAGAGTAAAATGTATTATTGTGAACGCGTACAATTTGCCATGTTGTACATATGTTTGTTATAAGACGGATACCTACAACAAATGGTCATGTGACGTCAAAATTAAAATTAGTTTTTAAGCCACGCCAAAAAATAAAATCGATTTTGCCAAAAACTGGTTATGCGAAACGATTATGGGTTTTCCTTGTTTTTTTTTTGTTTTTCCCGATTATTTTGAAAAGTACTTACTGAGAATTTTTACCCGTTAAAAGTACAAATTAGATCTAATTTTCTAACAGAAACCATCCTCAGAGTTAAAAATACTTATATTGTACTTATATTGACATATTGTATACTATTATACTACTATGTAGGTATACGGCAGCGGGCAGACACATAAATACATAAATAAATTCATGTGGTAAATGTGCCGACTTAAGGTTAATGTAAATACTAGACTGGGGAAAATGCCCCAGTTGCCCTCCCCCGAATGACGCCACTGGTCATGCACTGCCTGGGCAGCCAGTCGAAGAATCCGAGAAAGGAGAGGCTGTACAAATCTGCAACGCGGTGGCGGCGGTAATGGGCAGGACTAAGGTGATTCTACCAGGTGAAACTCCGTGGATTCGTCGCCACCACGGTGTTAATCGTGGTTCCGAGTGATGGATCCCGAGGTGAATAACGTTTGCAGACCCTATATCCTCTGCCCTTGGTCGAGGATTTCCAGAAGAGGTAGTGGCGACGTGGGGATACATGAAAGGTGTCCGGTGGTAAGTTCTGTACGCCAGTTCGTGACTTTCTGAGCGGTATCGACGGCCAACGCAACAAGTGGATATAAGATATCAAAAATAAACAAATAGGTACCTACACATACAATACTATAATTGTATAAGTAAGGTAAGTAAAATAATTATTTTTAATATTGATTCTATCAAAAACAAATCTTGATGAATTAACCATTGAAAAAAATCTGGGTTAGTGTCTGTGGTTTATGTAATTGTGTTGTCATAAATAGTAGATAGGTATGTATTAATATTATTATATGTAAATAGTTGCGCCTATGGGTATCAGTGGGTATCACACCCTTATCCCACGGGGGCTTCACCGCCGCATCCCTTAATTATAAATTATAACGTATTAATCGTATTATACTATACCATAACACATTTTTAATTTAATAGTGTCAACTGATCGGTGACAACAAATAGAAACCAGTGTGAAACTATGGCTAATGTAATAGACGCATGTATATTTTTTGTATGAAATGCGCGACATGCCGACATCGATAAGTTAAAGTTAATGATTCGGGCAATGTTTCCTATCACCATTTATCATAATTCATAACGAGTTGATTAAATAATTTACAAAAATTAAAACACTAATAAATTTGAGGTTTTTTTAAATTTGAAAAAATTGCATCCAATTTCTACAACGGATAAATTACTCTTACTCTTTAATTTATATCTGTAACTATTTGTGGACTGTGGAGGCTAGATAAATAGTTGAGGGGACTATAGAATAAGATATATTAAGCTTATTATTCAGTTTTTGTAACAAATTTCCCGAATAAATATTATGTTAAAATAATATACATAATTAATGAAAGTGAGTAGCCCGTATGAGTTATAATATAATATTGTATCAACGAAAATACAAGTAATTCTAATTACGAACCCCAATCGAAGTTGAAAATTGAAGAATTTCCTGTTTCATACACAAAAAAAAAATATATATATTTCTTTGTAAAACCAATACATTCAACGCTCTATTGGAATGTAAAATGGAATATTATTCAATTCAAAAAATATTGACAGGTTTCATCTTTCCTTGAACTCAGGTATTATTTGTATTCATATACATAATATATAATTAAATAATATTACCTAAAATAATTAGTCAGTAGTAAACATTTGGTAATCAAATTAAAATTATAAAATGTTTGAATTACTTAGGAACCACTTACAAAATTAATAACTACCCATTTGGGAGGCAATAAGTAGGTACTAGATCATTTTAGTCAAACCCTTTAGATGGGATTTTGGAAAGTAATTAGTATAAATATTATGGACCTTTTTAACTTTGGGAGACAAATAGTTTGAGTCTTCTAAACATTATAAGTCCAGAATAATATGTGTCAATGTTGAAGGGCTTGATTTCCACCAATACCTAGAACTACAAAATATATAAAAGTACGATAGATATTAGTATAGGTACTGGGTAGGTACTTATATGTATATTACCAAAGTCATATTAAAATTATATATTTTAACTCTTACAGTCTTACCTACTTTCAATAGAACGCAATCAGAACATGAAAAGAAGGGAAAATCGTTTGATAATTCTGATTTGCAAAATTTATTTTGAAAGATCACTCAAAAACTAGCATCATCAGCTTTAAATTAAAAAAGGTGATCTGCTGTATAGTAGCCAGTAGGTTACAACCTACAAGTGGGTCACTGTATAATGGATAATGGTATCACATTTGAATTCAATGATACAGTATTGTACTATTGTAGTAACCCTATAGTATAAGGAAAACGATATTCCTATGATATTACTAAGTATATTTGATGATATTATTAAACTAGGTACCTATTATATATATACCTAATATATAATAATAATAATAATATATAAAATATATATATTAAGCTCATGTAAATATACATGATAGACCTACCTATATTTTGAGTAATATCAAATGACAAATTATGTCATATCATTATACAATTTAACTGCCAGAATTTAATTAAATATCTACATAAAGTTATATTTTGTTTATTAATATAAATAATCTTATGCTGCATCAGCTGCCACCTGGTGCACACTCCTGATTTTTCTAAAAGCTGTATCAAAGTTCAACTTTTACAGACCATATAATATTGCATTTATAATTTTTCGTAACAAATATTGTTAAAATTATTTTTTGTATTACTATGCAACAGCGAACGGAAACGCATCTGTATACTACAGAGTATAATATAGGTACTGTGATCATATTCATTAATAAAATGTCTTTATTTGTCTGTGTTGAATTTATTACTCCTATTCAATAAATAGTTATAAAATAGGTAGGTATTCAATTGTATACCTATAGGCTATACAATTAATTTGTATTGTCAACAATAGGATTTGTAATAATGTATGAGGAGAAAATATAATCTATAATAACACCGTCAGGGAAAATTCTGTAGACAATTTTGTATTTTTGTATAAGTCTATACAACATATTTCATTTAAATATTAGGAACATTTAAGTGTAAATTTTTATGGTCATCAATAAGCATTCTAAAAATAAGACAACTTAAACAAAATATACTTTACTATTATATTTAATTTTAGGTAGGTATATCGTATATAATATAATATATATAACCGTCGATTGAGCGGCTGTAACGAATCGAAATAAATTATAAAATGTTTATGGTGTACGAATTCGGAAACAGGTGCCACCATGAGTTAAAAAGTTTTAAACATATTAATGAACGTTTAATCTTCAATGTGCATTGCGTGCAGTAGGTATACATTATACACGTTACCTATCTGCAAATAAAATTATTCCGAGCAAATGTGTGATTATAACATTTTGACATATATAAGATGTTTGGAAATTTTTAGATTCTGAATGGAACGATGAATGTATTGATTTTACAATGATGTGTGTTTTTTTTTTATTTATTTATTTTTTTTTTTTTGTGTCTGTCATCACCTTTGAGGACGGTAAAAATGCTTAGATTTTCTTCAACAGTATCTTTTCTGATAGGAAAGTGAATCTAGTAGGTACTTTGGGGGGTCAAAAGTAAAATTTTTCCAGTAGTTTAAAACGCTCCGTGAAATCATAGCAGATTAATATTGATCGGCATTGTCACCGATGAACGAACTGGCGAACCGTGCCTTTTAATTCCCGACCCAGGGTGACATATTACATAATAAATACTATCTACAATCCCATGATAACGACGATCGTCGATAATACTTATTACCTGAACATTGAACAGTTTTAATGGTAAAATAAAAGTGTTCTCTAAATTAGTGAAAGCATAAATGCAATAAGGGGAAAACATTTTGGGTTATCAATTATCACTTTTACACGGCTTGAAACCGATTGAAAAAATTGGGTTGTTTTTAACTGTGGAGGGAGGGGTACTGTAGGTTAAACACGTGTGTTTGTTAGTTTTGGCAGATTTTTTAGTGGGCACCCGTAGGTATCTGCCATGATGCCCGGCTGGGGGATGGCGAGGGCGGCACTTCTGGACTCAGTGACTTGTCCTAAGAAAAATGCCGCCCGCGACTGAAGTTTTGAACCGGCGTCGGTATGCGACGCGATAGCCCGCTCGGCCACTCCGTCCCACATTTAAAGATATTAGATAAATACCTACGGCATATAGTATTGACTTTAGTACTTTACTACCATTTTAATATGTACTATACGATTCACTGCGGCAACTGGAAAATCAAATTAGAGAAATCAGCATATTACCCGGTACCTACCGTTGCTAATTGCTATATGAACTATATCTGGTTACCTATATACTGTATAATATATAATATTATTTATTACTTTATTATAGTTGTGTCACCGTCATGAACTTAAAAGTATAACAACATAAGCGAGTAGAATTTACCCATGCATAATTTGCAGTTTGTGAAAATAAAATATGTTTATATTACATAATATATAGGTATATATAATATATATAATTATATATAATTATATATGTATAGTGTTAATTGAGATTACAATTATATTATATACCAACGAAAGACGTCATATGTTGGGTGTGAGGGAAATTCAGGTACTACGCGATAAATATTATACAAAGTTCTATCTCGTAAGTATACATAATAGTGATAATCAATGGTGTGCAAGTTAATGAAAATAATTAACTCAAGTTAAATTAAGTTAAGAGGACACAAGATGTCAAGATCGATTAGTTAAAAGTTAGCAGTTAACAAATTATAAATTTAACTCGATAAGTTAAAAGTTCATATTATAGAAAAAAATATTAACTTAACTCAGTTTAAAAAAAGTTAATCTATTTTAGATTCTGAGTGAAACGATGAATGTATTGATTTTACAATGATGTGTGTTTTTTTTTATTTTTGTGTCTGTCATCACGTTTTAGGACAGTAAAAGTGCTTGGATTTTCTTCAACAGTATCTTTTCTGATAGGAAAGTGAATCTAATTGGTACTTTGGGGGGTCAAAAGTAAAAATTTCCCAGTAGTTTTCACAAGCACCGGGAAAAACAACATAAAAATTAAGGAAAAACGGGAATTATTACGCAAAATCGGTTTTCCAAAAAATCGATTTTGGTTTTTGGTGTAACTCTAAAAGAAATGAACGTATATACATGAAATTTTCAATGGTTGTTTATATTTGCATTTTGTATACACGATAACATTTTCAAAATATTTTGATTAATTTTGAACTGTTTAGGGACATTTTCATTTTCCATCTTTTAGATTCTGAGCGGAGCGATGAATGTATTGGTTTTACAATGATGTGTGTTTTTTTTTATATTTTTATATTTTTTTTTTGTGTCTGTCTATATTAAGTTGGTGTATTGAGGTCCTACCACAGAATAGAATAATCCTACGCAGGATATAAAATATACTGATATGTAGCGAACGGAAAGAATTGTAACATACAATCATAATAAAAAGACAGTCGATATGTCACATGAAAAAAAAAAACATTGGCCATATAATATTAAAGTGCATAATACCTACTTAATAATATAGTTTACACGTTT